CGTTGGGACTTATAGGCGGAGTTAGCTAATGTTGGGTCCCGAACTAAGCCTAGCGACCCGAAAATTGTATTAATTTAGATTTCATTTAGTCCTGTTGTCCTCTGTCCCTTGGGTCAGTAATAGTTCCTTTTCCTGGGTCCACCAGCCAACGGAGTGGGGCAAATTAAGGACCTCTAACATGGCGAACAACTTGATTTGATGATGATCAAAGTGGCATAGATTTCGGCTGTATTTTATGGCCTTTAAAAAACTTAAAGATTTGTGTTTTCCTTTACGGCCTTGGCTCGTCTTCATTACTTTCCATCAGGGTGGGTCGGTTTCCGCATCTCTAATTGCTGCCTGGCCCTCGGGCTGGGGTTAGTTTTAACCTTCGAGGGTTGACTGCATCCCATATTTGGAGTTTCAGTTTTTTCCAGTCCAGCCTTGTTATTATTTTAATAAGCAATTTGATGTTGCTACTCAAAATGCTGACACGTGTCCTGTGACACGGTGTCTTAGTTTGGGTTTGTGGGTGTGTCAAAGGCAAACAAACTGGAATGAGATTTTTTCTCTGTGTTTTCCTTTTTTTTTGTATATATAATTAATGGGCGGACCCATAAGTACCTAACTGCAGACGGTGAGAAAGTGCAATGTGCGAGAAGAAGTCCTGAATGGGGAAATCAGATTATCTTTGTGAGATATCAGGACATGGACATGACAAAGGTCCTGGCAGAATGGTGGAACTTGAGAACCGCCTGCTGACGCCTGTTAGCTCTGCATATGAAACATAATATTAGGTTCATTATAAGCTGGCAACCATTTGTTTATCACTGCCTCATTTTCACCTTCCGGTTCGAGTCGTTCTCGTCTTTGTCCTTTGCCCTTTGTCCTTTGCCCTCTAACTGAAGGGAATCTCTCTGGCTGGCTGTCGCTGATTCCCTCTGATACCCACTTGAGCCTCAGAGATCCAAAAGTTTATTAAATATAAATTTATAACACCCACATGTGGCCCCTTCATGTCAAACGGAAAACAAACAGAAGTCAAGTCTGCAGCCCTCTTCAGAGAGAGAGTTAGGGAGAAAGGGGAGAAAGAAAGTCACCCTCTGGGTTCTTCTCGCCTTTTGCCATAACTTAAATAAATATGCAAACATTTCGTCACATTCCGCCCACGCCCACTTTTAATTTAAGCCCACTTAACACCTCATAAAACCGGCAACGTTCTGCCTGAATAAATGAATGACTGAATGAGCGAATGACTGAATGACTGAATGAACGGGGGCGAAAGTGAGTGACAGACAGAGCTCTTCCTCGGTTTAATACAAAATATACACATTTTATACATTTTAATTTTTACATTTAACAACTTCCAAGCAATTAGCTCGAAAGGGTTGCGCTGCTCCCTCTCTTGCCTAACCACCCACCCCTCAGCAGTCTAACTGTAAGCCAGCAGCCACCCCCTATATATGTATCTCTCCTGGCTCTTGGTTGATTGCTACTTTTGGCAAATTAAACTTGAAAGTTGTAAAATTTCCCTTGTCATTGGCAAGGACACGTGCGTGTCAAAGAGCCAGCAAACAGTCGAGAGCTCAACCCCTGTGTTTCCCTCAACTGATTTTTCCAAAAAGGAATTGCTTTCTGGGACAGCGAGAGTTCATAACTAAATTAAAATGTTAAGATATCCTTGCCTAAGGGTTGTATTTAGGTTTTATTTTGAAATGCAATTCGAATCCTTTACCTTCAACATTGATTTGCATGCTTTTAGGCTGCTCGAAATTACCTCAATTCAGTGAAACAGATGTGAGCTTGGCGCTGATCTGGGCTTCATTCACAGCCCATAACAATTGCTGTTTATGCTGATTTTTATGCCCCCTCAAGACACACACTTTCCGCTCAGGTCTGGCTATGAATAAGTAAGTAAGCGGGTGAGTTTTCCTCTTCTTTGCCTCGAACCACATTCAAATGTTGTCCTGCTCCGGCAGCTTATTTGCCATGTAATCTTAAGCGACAGGCATTTGTTTACTTATTTATGCACTTTCTCCACCGCACAACAAACAAACACATACACACTCGTACTGAACTTCCTTAACCATAAAGGTTAGCAACTTAAAAATCACAATGGGGGCTTTGACTCTGCCATTAGATAAGATGGGGAATCTTGGGGGAATCCCTCTTTGGGGTATCTCTCTCTCTTGCTTTATTTTTATGCGCTTCGTGTGAGATTTTTATTGTGTACACACATCTAGAAGAAAGAACTCTCAGAGACAGACGCTATCTTTGCCACGTTTGCTTTTATTATTTAATGGAGCACAAAATGCATTTTAGCTCGCCCCCTCCGTCTGGTTATTTGCTTTCCTGCCGCTGATCCTTCGACTGCTTAGGCGTGCTTTTTTGGGGGATGGAAGAAGAAACCAAGGCTGGAATCCAGGCAGGCATGCGAAATTAATAATTTATATATGAAAATGTGCGTTAAGAGCAGCAAAATGCGAGGCGGTGTGAGTCTGTTTGCCAAATGGCTCAGGACCGACGCGTTAGGCTGTTTGCCAAGGTCATAAGTAGGACTTGCCGAGATTCTACTACAGTTACAGCCAGGACCCATCTCGTTCATCGTAATTTGCTTAATAAAACGCGGTGTGTGGCATATTGCATAAAATATAAGGCATTCCCTTTGTTTTTCTACCGCCTTTTGCGCAATTTGTAAATTGCAAACCAGATTTCTTTCCCTCTCTTTCTGTCTCCTTCAGCTGGAACATCTTTGGCTGCTGTCGCTTTTCATTTGAGTCTTCAGCTTGAGAGTTGCACTTGATGGGGCGGCAGTAGGCAGGATGTGTCTGCCGGAAGGAGTCAAGTGGATGTTATGTGCATAAATTTCACCCAGATCCCAGACTACAGACTCCACACTCCAGGGAGAGGCTGCCTGGCAAAAGGCCCTGCGGCTGGGAGTATTTTTATGGAGAGGCCAAATGTCAAATTTATGCATATGAATGTTTATGGCAGATCCGAGAGGGATTACGATATGATAAGTCATATGAAGGATATATATATACACTGCCAAGTCTGGCATACCCTTTGCTACCCTCTCGGAGAGGGATAACTCTCCTCTAGCAATCATTTTCTCGCTGCCCACATCCGGCAAAAGTCAATTGAAGTTGTAATGAGAATTGAAATGGCTAGCAATTAAAGGTGATGGTGGCTTGGTATATCCCACGCTCTGCCAACCACGATCCGGTGTCCTAACGCCCGATTTCCCCGCCCTCCTTTTTTTCCATTCGGTGGCTTACGCATGCCGCAGGCTCAAACACTTTGCATAACATTAAGCAGCTTCACTTCAGTTTTTATTTCGATTCAGATTCCCTTCCGTTCTCGCTGCTTCTCCTTCTTTTTTTCTTCTTCCTGTTTTTTCGGTTTTTTGTGGGTGGTCTCTGTGGTCGACCGCAGCTCCATAAAATATGCACCCAGACCGACAACAAAGTGAAGTATGCAAAATGGAAGGCAAACTGTGTATTTGGTAGGGGGAGGGTTGAGGGCTTGATGGCTTGACGGGGGGGGAGTGTGGCAAAGCGCCTAAAAGCATATTTCAATTAAGCTATCACCTTGAATTATTCTCACGAGCCCTGGCACCCCCGCAAATACACATACAGTCGGCCCATATACAAAGACAGCTGAGAGTTCCGCCTAAAAGCAGACTACACTTTTTTTATTTTTTAATTTTAATGTTTTCATTCAACCGCCAGCCTGGCAGCCAACAGAGAAGAAGAACGTTAAAACCGCTCGTCAAAAATTTGCATTTAAATGAGGCGCAGAGGCGACTGACTGACGGGCCTGTTTCTCTTCACTCCTTGGAAGTGGAAATTTTTATGATTGCGGTGACTGCCAAATTGTCAGTGGATAAAGGCGAGTGTGTCTGTCTCTCTCTATATATGCGTGGGTGTGTCCTCTGTATGTGTGAGTGTGTGTATTCCTGCATAAAATGTAAATATTCTCTCGCTTGTCTGAGTGAGTGGAGAGATGACGAGGGGTCAGTGAACACAGAAAAGTCATTTTGCAATAAGGGGAAAAATACATTTTGGTCCTCTTCGAATTCTTTAGCTCAAAACAAACAGGCAAAGGCAAGCCAATTATGGCCATATTCCATTTCAAAATCAAAACAACAATTTCTCTAATTCACAAGGCAAAAAAGAGCAGGCTTAAAGTTGTTCGAAAATCACAATTAAAAGGCAATTCCGGGCAAACAGGATACAGCGCTCCTCTGTGTGTTGGTTATGCAGAAATTGCTCAGCTCACACGCATACTCAGACGTTGGTTCATCGTCATCCTTCATCCAGGGATTTCTCCACACACAACCCTCCCACCCCCGCCACCACTCTACCTCCCTTTTGGCCAAAAATTTTTGGCATAAATGCCATAAACAGTTTATTTAGCAACGGAAAATTAACTGCAGAATGCTGCCAAGCCCCCTGCAAAACCCAAACCAAGCCAGAAAAGAAAAAAAAGAATGTATAAGAGGCACTGGCAGGCAGACAGACGGGGACTGATGATGATGCTGCTACCCAAGTCAACCGTATATTGGCCTCCGCTCGGCGCAACTCAACTCGACGCTTTATGACGTTTTACTTCATGTGCAGCTTCATAATTAAGTGACTCCCGAGGGGGGGGTGAGGGTGGGTGTTTGAGTTTCACCCACCCATCCAAAAACTAGCTCAAGATTCGAGCAGGCAGGGGTAGGCGGGCGGCGGATAGACACTCGGGGGAGCTTTTAGTTTTGAGCCACGTGAGTAGCATCATCGCTTGGGCTTCGCCTGAGCCATAAAAACAAGCCCCAAACGAGGTCAACTGAGGGCACTAAAATGCATTTGCTTTATATTCCTGTACACATACGGATACGGAGGAAATGGCTATATACAGTGATATATATATATATATATATATAGAGAGAGAGAAAGTAAGATAACAAGATAGACAGAGAGGTGAATACAGTTAAAGACGCACATAAAAAGTGTTAGCAGCTCGTTTTGTGTACTTACTAATTTGATGGCTGGTGGTATTAATGGATGATGGCAACTTACCTGCAAAGACAGACAAGGGAGAACACGGAAATGTTTAATATTAAGTGATATGGCAGAGAGTAGAAAGGAAAATTGGCTAAAGTATAATTAAGTCATTATGAGTGCTGAGTTTATACGGGGGGGTGGGTTGGAAAACTGTAATTAGATATGATGGGTAAGATAAGAGCAGAGAGAGAGTGGCCAAATAATAACAGCTACCAACATAAGAACTCGCATTTTAAAGCCCCAGTCACGACTCCCGCTCAAGTTTGCCTTAAAAATTGATTATTGCAAACACTTTAACACGCCCAGGCACATGGCAAAGTTAGCCCAGGGCAAAACCAGAGGAAAAAATGTCATAAAAATTCTATTTTCGTATAAAATTTCGAAAGTAATCTAATAAATATTGATTTTCATTCGTCATCGCCAACGACGATGGCGACGCTTGGCGACAACAACATCATCATCAGCACCACAGGGTCACTGGGATGGGATGTGGGTATGGGTATGGGTATGGGTATGGGTGGTGTGTAACCCTACACGGGGACACGACATCACGGAGCGCCACACAGGCGTAGTCAATAGTCGTTATTTGATATAGTCGCCAGACCAACAACAAGCTGGCCATGATGAAACGTGCCTGGGACCGCCGTTACCGCCGCCGCTGCTGACCAGGACATCGGCCAGGAGCAGGAGCTGACCGCACGTAGAGCGAGTCCTTTGGCTGCAAGGGATGAAATCATGCGCGCAACTCGTTTTCGGTCAAGCCAAGCCATGAGAAAAAGGGACTGGGTGTGTGTGTGTGTATATGGATGGATGGGTGATATAGAAAGGGGGGCAAACAGTTCATTCAATCATTCAAATGTCCTTTGAACTATAAAAATACATGACACTAATAAAGAAAACGAACAAATGACACGACACCACAGGGCTGGCGTCGGAAGAAGCTCTAGAGGTGGAGCAGCCAAAATTGCTATTTAGAGCAATTTATAAGCATACTTTGAGGCGCCCTCGGCCCTCTCAGCACACGACATTTGACATTTACGAGTGAGTCCAGCGCACTCTATCCTTCCACTTCTTCCTTCCTTTTACTACATCCTTGCCACCATAAATTTTGTTGTAGCTATTTATTGCATTTTTATGTAAAATGATCCAAACGGTAAACCTATATACGTTCGTCCCTTTACTTATTTTCGCTTTTTTTTATATTTTTTTATACTTTTGAAAAGTTGTTTATGGGGCCTCGAGAAATCGAATTGCTGTAGCTAGCCACGAAGCCCACCACGCGGCACGAGAACAATTTAAGCAATTAAAGGTGTGTGCCCAGGAAAACCTTTTGGGATTCCCGTTGCTGGCTGATTTTTACAAGAAGAATTTCCTATTCATTCGCTACCGGTATGGTATAGCAGCGTAGCATACTTTTTGGGGCTTTGGTATGATTTATCCTAGCATCTAGCACGTCTGCACCGCATTTTTATGGCCATATGCTGAACTCTGGCCTCGATTGCCATAACAATCGGGTAAAAGCCACAACACTACAACTGCCTGGAATAGGAACACCGCCACACAAATCAAAACAACGCAGCACAGCGCCTAAAAAGCTGTGCTAGTAAGGCCACCACCGGGTAGAGATCCACGGGGGCAGTAAACTACATGAAGGCTTTCTTCGCCGCGTCTGGGCCCATGTAATCTCTGTTGACCATAAAGATTTATAGACTATTGTGTGTCGTTCACGCTGCCTCTGCCAGCGCAGCCACCACCGCAGCAGCAGCAATGAAAGGAAACTTTTTGCAACTTAGCGCCAAACTTTATGCAATAATTTATATATATTGGGAGAGCGAGCGCGCGCCCAGGCTTCGGCCATATAAAAATGGTCGAAGCAAAACAAAATAAAGAACGCAAAAAAAAAAAATAATAAGACCAGAAAACGCAATGCCGACGACCTACACAAAAGGCATTCCCCATAATAGTCGCAGGAGCAAACAAAGGACGAAGGAGCAGCCACAGCCGGCGTGAACGTAACGCGTGTAGCAGCAGCCAGGACGAAGGATGAGGAACTGCACAAGAAGTTGATGGAGTAGTAGAAGGTAAGACATACACCTGCCAAGCCGAACTGATCATACTCTGCAGGATTCCCAAATAGAATAAACTTTCAACATCCAAGTTCTTCATATCATCAGCGATAACAGATGATGGACATAAATAAACGCCGAACTGGGGCAAGTTGAAAGGTTTTTCAACTTTATTTTCTAGCTTTTTAAGGACTTTAAGTTGTCCTCCAAATGATACTTTCTTTAACTTTCAGTACTCTTGGTCTTTCACCGAATGATAAATTAGATTTCCATAAACCTCACCGAAAAAAACCTAACCAAGCTAAATCTGAAACACTCGCGACCCTAAACAAGCGTAACCAGGTTGCCTGCATATCGGCCAGAGTTGGCTGTGGCGCGATAAAAAATTAAAAACTTCCTCCTTCGATACACCGCTTAGGTGTGTGTGTGGTGGTGGATGTGGAGGTCCTGGCAAAACGGGAGAGCGCGCCAAGTGTAAAAAAGAAAAACTTTTCAATGAGTTTTTCCTGTTGGCGTCGGCGGCGTCGTCCTCGGTTATGAGCCTGCTCCCCCTGCCCCTGCCACCACCCCTGACGGTTTATTGTTGTTTGCGTTTTAAATAGACTCAAGTGTTGTTGTTGTTGTTATTGTTGTTGGTAGCTGCCGGTTGCAGGCATTGTCTGAAGTGCGTTTGCCACTGCGGCCTCATTGTTGTTGTTTCTGCTGCTTGCTGCTTGCCGGTTGCTGGTGGCGGGATGCTGCTGTCCTGGGGACTCGAAATCAATCGATAGTTAATGGAAAATCGTTATTAATGAAAAGTTTACATCTATCTCCTTTGCTCTCCCTGCGGCAGCCGGCAATTGAGCGTTCACTGAGCCATGGCAAAATGGTTGATAAAGTGCAGAAAGCAATAAAAAAGAGAGAGAATGCGAGAGAGCGCTACATTTAAGTAGCAAACTTTTTCTTGCTCTTCCTTCTCCTTCTCCTCTTTTTTTTTTTCTCGTAATTTCATTTGAGTGTGAAAAGTTGCACGCACATGGCGAAAAGTTCAAAGGGAGGGAGGGGGGTGGAAGCTGCATATTTTCCAGAGCATAAATATTTTATGCATGCAACAAAGGCAGTCAAAACACAATGGCCAAAAAAGTTGTTGTTGAAGGCGACTTGCTCTGTCTGTTTGTGAGGCATTTGCACCTCTAACAAAGCAGGGCTTTCCTTCTTCTTCTTTTTTCCCCCCATAATATTTCTGATTGAAGAGCCCGGAAAAAGTTTTCTTTTTATATATTTTTTCACATCCTTCACTTTCGATAGTTTAATGGCAGTTTAAGTAGTTTGACAGCGGTGCGAAGAGGGGCAGAATCTTGAGAAATTGATTTGCGGGCGGAACTCATTACGACCGCATCGCGATGAACTCAGATCACGCAGGACATAAATAAAGGATACCCTTGGTTCTGGTCGAAATGGTTTTGTAATCACATCAGGACGGCCGGCAAGGAGTTGCAACCTCTTTTTTTTTGGGGGGGGGTGGCTGATTTATTGCAACAACAAAGTTTTATCATGCATATTTTATGCGTGTAAATGTTGCCGTCATAAAATGCCTCCTCGAAGAGGTCCTTCCGTGTGGCTGTGCGTGTGCGTGTGTGCGTGGGTGTATTCAGGATGTAGCATCGCCCTTTACGCGTACGAGTTGTAATGGCGGCCAATAAAGCAGCCATTCAATGGCAGCAAATTGGCATTTTATTAGCGCAACCATTGGCATTGCCAGTGCCCAGCATGCCTCCCCACCCCCCTCCCCACTCAATTCACCACTAATTTGGCCCCGTACTTCTCGCGTATGTCATAATAAAAATGAGTGTTGAAAACTTTTAACAAACGACAAAATACCAGCCGCAATCCCTGTCCCGCTGTTCTCTACCCTCCCCCTCATCGATCGATGTCCTGCCTGTGGGTGCAAAAGGATGTCGTCCTGTGCTTTGAGGTCGTCGCCGCTGCCGCCGCTGCCTCGGATTTCGCATCTAAGACTGCGAGGGGATAACTCAAAGTTTACTCAAGTTACTTGCGCCAGCGACAAGACAGAAAACTTTGTACTTTACATCATTAAAAAGTTTCGCTTTCTCCGCTATTTTCAGTTTTCTCTTCTTTTTTTTTCTCCTACTTTGCTCTCTTTCTCTGTCTCCGGTTTTGCAGCTCTTCCCGGGGCGGCTTTCGTCTTTCTCGGCAACTTTCTTTCCGGCCAAAGACTGACTCCTTCGACTTTGATTGTGATTCCAGGCTCTGACTGAGGAGCTTAGCAATTGACAGTTGGCCATCAATCGGGGGAGGGAGAAGTGGGGAGAAATCGCTTAATTTGTGCGAAGCCCAGGAATTTAAAGGATTTCTCTGACCGCAGGATGCGATGGCTGGTCAACTGATTAAAGGGAATCTTGTCCCTTATCCCTTGTCCAGAACAGCAAAGGCAAAGGAAAAAGAAAACTGCATACTCTTAGGCGTGAGCTGGAATTCCCGTAATAAACGAGCGCGTAATAGAAAAAAATCCCTGCCTCCTGGGGAGGCGAACAACAAATAAATAGTTGCAATGCTCCAGTTTGCTCTACGCTCTGGTTGGCTGCCTGCCACTGGCCACATTCTGGGCTAAGGGTTGTGGCAAAAAGGGGGATTCCAGCGGCGTGGAGGGCTCTGCGGCGGAGACTGGGGACTTCCCTTTGGCTCATAGTTGGCAGCAGCAGTAGTAGTAGTAGTAGTAGTCGTGCGGTGGTTGCCTTTTTGTGCCCATGCGCATGGAAAATAGTTGCACAAACTTGCACGGGGCACAAAAAATGAAGGCAAAAAAAAGGATATAAACGAAGGCATGAAATGGACGGGTAGGAAAAAAAACCAAAAGGACTGCCAACAAAGGAGGAGGAGTTCCCCGGCTTAGAGTGTCCTGCTTTGTGTATCTTTTCTGCACGTGTGTGCACTATCTCTATGTGTGTG